ACTTCAGGGTATGATCACCGTACTCCATTCTTCTTGTATCCCCCATTCTCCCCGACTGGTTTGTGCCTTGTTGGCTCTGCTGAAACAGACGTATTTTCTCCTTTTCACAGCTGACAATGATACCAATGTTATATATCACTCCTTTAACACCATTATTACTGCCTTTGTCTTATGCCCTGGGCACCCATGTAGTCTGTTCCATTTGCTCCTCATCCCCCTCTGTCCACAGCACAAAATCCACCATTTTCCAGCCCCTTTCAGGGCCATGGTGAAGTCATAGTAGATTCAAAATGTTACCCCTGTTTTTCTCTCCACAAATGCTGCTACAAAGCTAACTGACATTAACACTGACAACTAAGCGACAGTCACTACTGGTCATGATCTTTGGAGGTTGACTGTTTGCAAGGGCTTTAGAAGACGTGGAAAGAAACAAAAATCCTCCAGTTGAGATAAAGGGAAAACAGAGGCGAGCGTGTTGTGTACCTTCACAACCTACTGTCTTCCTCTGCAGCAACATAAACATCACACCAAAATGGGATTCTTGAGCCACATCAGGCAATGTTTAACGGTTGACAACCCACAGCGTAAACCGTTTTCTTTTAGGTCAGATGGTTAACCACAGATTGAGAAGTCACCAGTGGCAAAGATAAGGTCACATATTTGTCCAGTAATTTAAATTCTACAAACCTGTTGCTCCAGAAAAAAGATCTAACTTTTAGTTAATGAAATCTAGAAAACTCAGTCTCGACAGCTTTCCATAATCTTTCACTGTGATAAAAGTTCTGCACTTCTTCAAAACAACTCAGTTTTAAGTAACAGGTTTAAAAAAAAAAGAGGCAGCTGTTATACTTCCTTCCATAGTTATTAACTCCTTCAGACAGACAGACAGACATCAGTAAAGAAAGTAAACTGCAGATGCATTACGTGAATGTGTATGTTCATGGAAAGGCATGTCTATAATAAACAAATTCACAGAAATAGTAGTATATTTAGACCAAGTACAAATATCTGCAAGATCAACTATTCATTCTGAGTTCAATACATACACATTCTTTTCTGCTATTACATGGTTTCTGAAAAATATTCTGAGGTGTCACTGAAAAAGGGAACCAACCAGCAACAAAGCTGTTTTCTTGAGTTTTAGTGCACCCAACCGTTACATTGTCATTGATTTATCGTTTCCTCGTTGAGAAGAAAAATGTTCAAACCTTACATAAAGTACACAGTATCTATTAAACCAGTGGTGTTACAGTTAAGTACTGAAATGCTTCAAAGAAGGTTTGCTTCACAGGTATTGTCCATCAGAATGTAATATTCTACTGTTATGCAGATACAGTGGCCATCTCCTAATGTACTTGACATTCAACACTTTTTATGATCCAAGAATTTCCCCAAATATTATTTTCCCAATTCATACTAAAGCAAATATCAGGATGATGATAAAATGTGGACTATTAATTTTCAAACCTTGGTACCTGGATTTGGACTGAAATCGGTCCAAAAAAGGGGAAAAAAAAAGTGACTTAAAATGGCCAGAGCAATCACCTGACCACAGTTAGCCAGATTTCACAAAACCAATACGAAATTAATATTTTATCAAAAGGCACCAAAATGAGTAAATGCAGTCAGGCATTAAAAAAAATCTCCTATTTGGTTTAACATCTTTCTGGGAATGTTTATAAGTTGAAGGTGGAACCTTGCTTACATATAGCAAAACTGAAAAAGAACTTTTGAGATGGAATACACAAAACAAATATGCATTTTAAACAGCAGAGATGGATTTTTGCTTGCCCTAATGGGACTAGCTGTAGAACATATTCTCTGTCTCACGAGGCAACAAAATGCCCAGTGAGAATACTGACTAAAAAGATACATAATACTCACAGCTCAAAGAATGAATGCAAATAATTGCCACTCCTGATGACCTAAAGCACTAAACAAACAACTGTAGCCTCAGGTTAAAACTTCACACCTCAAAGACACCCTAAGGCTTGTGAATTGTATAGAACATAGGAAAGAGGTGGTGGTCTAGGCCACTCAACTCCTCTTTCATGTCAGCTCCTTGACATTTCAAAGATCCATCTACCTCCTCTTTAAACATATTCAGTGATTTAATCTCTACAGTTCTCCGGGGTAGAGAATTACAGATATCCACTAGACTCAGACAGAACAAGTTCTTTCACATCTCAATTTTAAATTAATCACTCCTTACTCTGTGACTGTGTCCCCTAGTTCAAGATTCCCCCACTAGTGCAAACATCTTCTCAACATCTACTCTGTGTGTTTCAATGAAATCACCCCTCATTCTCCTAACCCATAAATGAATAAAGACTTAACCTGTTTAGCCATATTGATAAAATCAACCCCTTCTTCCCAGGAATCAGTCTAGTGAATCTCTTTTGAACTGCCTCCAATAAAATTATTTCCTTTCCTAAGGAAGAGACCAAAGCTATCCACAATACTCCAAGTGCAGCCTCACCAACACTCTGTACAGTGGAAGAAGGCTTCCCTAGTTTTAAATGTCACACCCTAGCAATAATTCCAGCCAAAATTCCATTTGTATTCTTAATTATGTGATGCATCTGAAATGCTAACATTTAGTATATCATGCACAAGAATACTCAAATCCCTTTTGCTGCACTATTTTGGAGTCGGTCTCCATTTAAACAATTGCCTACCTCTTGATTCTTCCTACCAAATGCACAACCTCAATTTCCTACATTAAGCTCCATCTGCTAACTTATTTTGCCTATTCACTCAACCTATCTATATCCCATTGCAGATTTCTTGTGTCCTAATCACAACATGCCCTCAACACCTATTTTTATATCGGCAAAACTGCATTTGTATAGTGTTCTCCCTCCTCCAAGTCATTAATATAGATTGTAAACAATTGAGGCCGTAGAGCTGATGCTTGTGACACTTCACTAGTTACGTCCTTCCGATCTGAAAAAACCTATTAATCTTGACTTTGTCTTCCCTGTGTTCACTAATCTTCAATCTGCACTAATACAGTACCAATACTGTGAGCTCCTATCTTGTGCAATTACCTTTTATGTGGCTCTTATAACCTGCCATTTGAAGTCACTTTAAATTATAGCAACGTGTTTATTTTAAGAGTAGAAAATGTATACAAATGAATTTCAAATATGTAATATGCTGCCAAATGAAGATGATGTTATACTTTAAAAGCAGTGGTAATTGAACTTTAATTAATTGATTATGTAAAGAACAGAGGCATAATTGAAGAATATTAAAGAAATATGCCAAGGATATCAACTTCTGTCAGTCAGCAGACTGATCATAAAGGATTTGTACTAGAAATGCGTAATTTGCAAGTGCTCATGACAACAATAATTTTTTATAAACTAAACCAAATTTAACACAGAATACCCCCAAGGACTAAATAAAATTTACCAATCACAATTCAAAATGAACAAAATTATAACTTCCAGTATTCAAGTTTCAATTTTCAAGTATCTTCTACTAAAAATCAGTGGCTCATATATAGATCTTGCAAGTACCGTATAAACGGAAATAAACCTAAAGAAAAAAGGTTTAATTTACGGATTAGGCAACAATGTTGTAACCTAATCAAGAATTTCAGTACATAACACTTGACCTTCATTGATAATTTAGATCAATGTTTACACACTATGCAGTCAACCTTACAACTCAATTCTGCCTTCTGACAACTCATTAGAAATACAAGTTCAAAAGTACTAGTTACTACCCAGAATGTAATAGAACAGAATCACAAGATAATACTCTTCCACCTCTTTCCCCTCTCTTCCTCCTCTGCTCCTTCACTGTCAATCCCCCAACAGAGACTCATGCATTTTCATAATATTTCTTCCTCTCCCCAAAGAAAGATTTGCATTTGTATAGTACTTTTCACAACTTCAAGACCTTGAAAGAAGTTTCCAATAAATTAAGTACTTTCAAAGCACTGTTGTGTTGAGGGGAAAACAATTTGCACACAAAAGATCTACAAACAGTAATGTTATAAAAAGCATTCAGTCTGGTTTTAGAATGTCGATTCAGAGAGACGCATTGGTCTGGGTATTAGGGATAACTCTGCTGTTCTTCAGAATAGTGCCGCGGGATATGTTTTAGGTCAACCAACATGATAGACATGGCCTCAGTTTACACCTCCAACAGTACAGCGCCTCCTCAGTATTGCTATCGAGTTTTAGCCTTGTGTTTTGTGCTAAAATTCTGGAATGGCATTTAAGCCCAAATCTTTCTGACTCAGACGTCTGAAAAATACCAACTGCGCCCCACAGCTAACACAAGATTGCAAATTTCTCCCACGTACACCTGTCACTTACGATTCTTTGCTAAATAACCCACTATCACCGGGAAGTTCGACAATAACTGTCAACAAGGGAGGGTTAAGACAGCCCGAGCTGTTCTAAATTACATGTTGAAATAAACAGAAGCTGAAATCGCAGCCTTGTGGTCACACAGAAACCCAGACGCCCCGTGAGAGTTGCTGAACACGGTGAGAAATCTGAATAATTGGGAAACCTCCTTACTGCCACCCTGGTTAGGGTCAGAGAAATCATCGCGGGGTGGGGGCGGGTGTCAAACCTGGGACTGTCTGATTATTCTTGTCGGTTGGGATCAGTTCCTCCACACAGAGGCACTCATAAGAATGTCCTTCAAGAGAGTTCCCTGGCTCAGTTCTCCCTTCCTCACGAACAGCTCTGTACTAGTTACAGGGCGACGAAAGGGAGAGGGGGTGGGACTGGGGAGAGAAGGGGCTGATCTCCCCAGATCAAGGGAAAGGGGGAACCGGCAGAAACACTGGACTGGACTGCACTGGACTGGACTGGGTTGGGTTGGGCTCTTACCCACCAGGGCCGGCTGCTTCCGAGGCCCGGCCGCATTTCCAGGCGGATCCCCCTTAAGGCTTAGGGCCTAGCCTGCCTACCAGCACCAACAAAGACTGGGAGATAAGTGTACACCCGACAACGGATCCTACCTGTTCGGGACCGTCACTCAACTCCTTCTCCCCTGACGGCACCGCCTCGACCTCTGACCCTGCGCCGGCTCCGGCTCCGCCCCCTTGACCCGCTGACCTCACGGCTGCCCTTCCCCCCCCCGGCACTTGGCCGCCCGGCGCGTGCGCAAGTTGTTGCTGGCAGCAGAAGAAGGGGATTCCCTGTTGTTATATTGCATCAGATCTGCCCTGTCTTTGAAGACAAGAGGGCAGCAGTGTGTTTCTTTATCCCGGGCACAATTTAAGTCAAAAAAAAAGATTTGCGCTGGCGTAGGGTTTTTCACAACCACCCGACTTCCAAACTTGACAGCTGACGAAGGGCTTTTGAAACGCAGTCAACACTCGCAATACCGGAAATGCAGCATCCACCTTTGTACAAACTCTACAAACACCAACTTTCTAATGACGACCCAGTCTAATGTCGAGATGTTCATTGCGAAATAAATATTGGCCAAGGAAAAAGAGATAACCTCCACGAAATTTGTCAAAATAGTGCTGTAAGGTCTTTTACATGTACCAGAGGCAGATGGATCCCCAGGCATCTCAACCAATGACAAGAGTTCTAGAAGTGCAGGATTTTATCAGACCTTCATGAAGATCCAGCCTTGGTGTATCTACTAAGTTCCTGGAGTGGGATATATCACAGAATCATTGATCTGTTTTAGTGCAGAAGGAAGCCATTCAGGTGATTGGGACTGCACAGGCCCTCTGGGCTGTTTGACTTAATGTCAATCTCCTACGTTTTCCTCATAAGTCTGCACATTGTTCCCATTTAAATAATCACTTAATACCCTCATGAATGCCTCCGTTGAACCTGCTTCCATCACACTTCCAGGTAGTACATTCTAGACCTTGCTGTGTGAAAATGTTTCCTTTCACCTCATGTTTGCCCCTTTGCCAAAACAGTTAAAATCTCTGCCCTCTTCATCCTCTTACAAGGTGAAACAGTTTCTCCCTAAGTACTCCGTTGAGAGCTTTCCTGATCTTGAAAACTTCTTTCAGATCTCTGCTGAGTGTCTTCCCTCCAAGGAAAATAGTCCCAACTTTTCCAATCTATCCCCATTGCTGAGCATTCTCATCCCCATAACCATTCTTGTAAACCTTTTCTGTACTCTTTCTAATATATTCACATGTATCCTGATGTATGGCACCCAGACTGTGCATTATTCTCTAGCTGAGTTCCAACTAATGTCTTAAACAAGTTCAGCATAACATCCTTGCTCTTGTGGTTTGTGCACCTATTAATAAAGCCAAGGATGCCGTATTAACCTCACTCCTCACCTGTCTTCTTGCTTTTAATGAATTATGCACCTATATACCCAGGTCTGTCTGCTCCTGCACTCCCCTTAGAATAGTATCTATTTTTTATTCTGTCTGTGTCCTTTATACCAGCATGTTCACCTCATAATTCTGCAACGTGAACATCAACTGCCACTGATTCAACCACTACACCAACTTGTCAAAATCCTTTGAAGTTCTATAATGTCATCCGCACAGTTTACAATGCTTCAAAGTTTTTTTTATAATCTGCAAAATTTGAAATTATCCCCCGTCAAAAGATTTCACATATATTGAGAAAATATAGGGGAGGTGATGGCTAGTGGTATTATCACTGGACTGTTAATCCAGTGACCCAGATAATGTTCTGGAGACCTGGGTTCGAATCCCACGACAGCAGATGGTGGAATTTGAATTCAATAAATATCTGGAGTTAAGAATCTAATGATGACTGTGAATCCATTGTCGATTGTCAGGAAAAATCCGTCTGGCTCACTAACGCCCTTTAGGGAAGGAAACTGCCATCCTTACCTGGTCTGGCCTGCATGTGACTCTAGACCCACAGCAATGTGGTTGACTCTTAACTGCCCTCTGGGTAGTTAGGGATGGGCAATAAATGCTGCCTGGCCAGTGACACCCTCATCCCATCAATGAATAAAGGAAAAAAAAGCAATACCAATCCCTGGGAAACACCACTACACTAAGTTTCCTTCAGCTCGAAAAATAATCATAGGGCCATTACTTTCTGTTTCCTATCACTCACACAAATGTGTATACATTTTGCTCACTGGTACTTTTATCCCACGAGCTCTAACTTTGCTCACTGGTCTTTCATGTGGCATTGTGTTAAATGTCCTTTGAAAGACCATGTATACCACACAACTACCTTACCCTCATCACTTCTGTCTTACGTATTCAAAAATATCCAGTGAGTTGGTTTGATCTGATTTTCCCTTAAGAAATCCATGTTGGTTCTCTTTAATTAACCTGGAGTTGTCCATGTGGCAACCAAAATAATATTTCTAGAAGTTTCCCCATCACCAAAATAAAGCTGATTTATAATTGCTGGACATTTCCTTATATCCTTTTTTGAAAAGGACAAAATGTTTGCAATTTTCCAGCCTTCTGGCAACACCCCGTGTCTAAGGAAAATTCGTCATTTGGTTTTGAAATGAATTAAAGGCCAGATGCCACTTGAAGAATCAAATAATCAAACACAATCTATATGAAAATTTATTGACGACATGCATTACAATAAAATTAAACGTGCTAGCATAAGATTTCAGACGTGCTTTTTTTAACCACATGACTTTATTATCATCATGTATTTGATATTTAGCTCATACAATGGATATTCTACAACATTTTATTAGTGTTTTAACACTGGATCAGTGTATTGACTGTGTGATATCCTTGCTAAATGCTTCCAGGTTCTGGATTGTGCAACCTGGTATTGTTGATCCAATCCGCCATGTGATAGCCAGGTATGTAATTCATGTGACTTAATATTTCTTTGTGATGTGGTTGAGTCAATATCCAATATAACACGAAACTGAAGCGCAATCTCATTTAACTTTAAGAAAAACATTGTACCGGGGTTTGCTGATATAGAACTAGAAAATTAGTGTTAAGGATCAAAACTCCACCCACTTTATTTTCTATGATTTGATCTAAATGAAAGCAGAAACACACCTACATAAAATTTACAACTATTTTCTATCAATCAAAATAACTCCAGTGTTTTATGTTCTCTAAAACTTTGCCATTCATTTTGCCATAACAAGAAACCTGTTACGTAGTACTGCTAAATTTAATGTGATTAATATTTTTGATATGCATTTTTTTTTTAGCTATTATAATTTTCAATGTGCCATAAACACCAGCTTAGCACATCCTGAAGTATTCTAGTCTATGCTCTTTGCTGGATTGGCAAAGTAAACGCTATAAGTTTTACATGAAGCTTGGTCCTTTATTTAATCCTTCTTGTGATGATAAGATTTTAGTTTAAATGCACAAATGAAACAATTATGTCTTGTCATAACAGAATTCTATTTCCAGAGTTTTGAAATGAATTTGATTCTCAGACAGCCTTGATAAGATTTGTACTCACTTTTCTTGATTAGCAATGTAGACTGATGGATTACAAGTTCAACAGCAACAATTTGTATTTATGGAATACTATTAGCATAGTAAAATGTTTTAATGTAACTCTTAATGGCATTACCAAACAAAATTTGATAATAAACCAAATAAAAATAAATCAGAACTGGTGTCTAAAAACTTAGATAAAGATGCAGGGATAGAATTTTCACTTTGGGTAGAATTGCCAGTTTTGGCACTCATTGCACCCAAAAGTAAACCTAATTTGAAATATATTTGTTTTGCCAATGGCAGGAGTCTTATTTGGGCCTGAATGGCAGAACTGTGGCAAGAAATCTGGGCGATTCAGATGAGAAGTCCATGAGGCCTTTACTGACATCGGGAGCAGCTGATTGCATTTTCCAATAAAATTCCAGGTGTTGAGATGGGATTCTTGCTAAGTGTTGGCAACATCCACATATATGGAGATTATTGGTTGTTGTCAGCCTTGTTAATGAAGATCTTGCTACATTAATATGCAACTTCCCATCCTACCTCCTGCCACAAAGAAACTCAATGCTGAGAATTTTCCACATGAAAGTCTGAGCGGGTACTTGGCTTCTCCAGCTCACCACTTCCACTTCCAGATCTCCATCTTGGACACCCAACACCAAACCTCAGGGCACGGTCCATGGCAGCTGATGTCCACGGATCTTGTCATTGGACACTTGTCAGCCTCTTTGAATCATCATAGCACATCTCCAATCTAGTTGAACCATGCTGCTGCGTGGCCATGCTGCACCTCAGGGCACACCAACAATTATCATTGTAATGCTGCTGCAAGGACACTTTGCGCACATGGACAGACATCCAGCTCACAGATTGAATCAGGCTGCATTTTAGAATTGTTCATTTGCTATCATAGTACTCACTTGAGCCTACGTGGATGCTCACAGCATTTCAGCCTTGTCTTGCCTTGCCTTGTCTTGCCTTGCCCTTTACACTTTGCCACTCAGCCAGAGCTCCGGGTCTGTCAGTACCTCTGTCTTACTTTGCAATTTAGCTCATTCACGAAGCCACAAAAGATACAGAACATACACAAAAGATGAAAAGAAGAAGAAAATAAGCAAACCAAGTTATCTAGATATAGGACACACTTTGAAAGATCTTAAAATACATAGCAAAACAAAGTGTCATCTCACTTCCCCACATTATCTGTCATGGAAATTCAAATCTGCAGAAATTATTCATCTCTATCAGATCATTAGCTTAAAATTAGCTGATTCTCCCCAGTTCTTTCATGTGAGCTATGAAGTTCTTGTGTATGCTCATTCACAAAGCCGAGAGTTAGACTTCCTCAGTTTTTGGTAACCTGCAGATTTCCACCCAAACGCTGCTATTCTGGAAGGGGCACAAAATAAACTTGTTATTGATATAACTATGCTTTCCCCGAATTGCTTTATATTTATTTCCAGGAAATAAGCTATATTTTCTTTTGACACCAATAAGGTCTCCTCTGACCCACCCAAAAACTTGTAATCTATGGTTTTCTAAGGTAAAATCAACCCTTGATTACATTGAACCAAAAACAAGCAATGACTCTCAATGAAAGACTTCCATCTTCACTCCAAGGTCTCCCTGCCCTCTGACATAAAATGAATTAGGTCACTGTTTCAGAATGGCTATTTGACGAAGGTGTTGATTTTTTAAATCTGCATAAAACTAATCAACCCTATGTGTTGCTATTCTAAAATCAAAAATTCTAATAATGACATATATATCAAAAAACAGACATCTTTCGTCACACTACAAAAAGATATACATGCCATAAAGTTTAATGAAACTGATTTGTGAGATGGAGGGTTTATTGTTTAATGAATGATTAAATAAACTGGGCCTGTATTCTCTGGGGTTCAGAAGAAAGAGAGGTGATGTCACTCAAATGTATAAAATTATTGCAATGATCGACAGGATGGAGGCGAGAAGGATGTTTCCTCTGTCTTGGGTGTCTAGAACCAAAGTACACTTTAAGAATAAGGGACAGCCATTTAGGACCAAGATGAGGAGGAATTTCTACGCTTGGAAATGGTGAACTTTTTGGAATTCTCTGCTCCAGAGACATGTCATTCATTATGTTCAAGATTGAGTTCAATAGATTTCTACATATTAAAAAATAGAGGGAATATGAGGATAAGTGCGGGAAAATGGCATTGCAGTCAAAGATCAGCCATGATCTCATTATATGGTGGAGTGGGTTGGAGGGCTGAATAGCCTAGCCCTGCTCCTGTTTCTTACGTTCCTGTGATATAGAACCAGGAAAAAAGCATTGCCCTGTGAAGTTGAAAGTTGATGTAGTGTATAGGTACTAATGAGACCAACATTGCTTCTAATCATTTTCCATTGATGACAATTTTAGTGAATGATTAGCATGTAAATATCTTCTGTCTCCTATATGTATTCATGTACATTTGCTTATCAACATTAAAATCCTCATGCCATTATATGATCGCATATCCTGAAGACTATCCTTTCTATTCATTACCTGTTCACACTTGGTGTCATTAGCAAGTGTTGTACTATTACAATAGATATTTACCACCAAGTTATTTATGCATTGTCGAATAGTAATAAATTGCAGCAAATGTTCCCAAATGCCCAGATTCCAATTGTGAGAAAAAATTTAATTCACCTGGTAATTTTGTGAATGATTCCTTGATTTCATCTTTAAAAAAACAAGTAGAATTTTATTACATGCAGTTTGAAAATTTCAAGGAACCAAACAATCCTCACGCTTTTCCATTTAATATTTGTGAATCTTGACTCAACAGAAGAGAATTTTCATGCAACCTCCTCATCAATTTAGTTCACTTCACTTGAATTTGAACTACTGACTCTTTAAGATGGCTGTTCTGAAGCATCATTGAGGGAACAATGTACTTTTTAGACACTGGTATTAAGTACTTCCTATTTCTTTTACATTAGCCTTATCCTGAGTGCCTCTCTCATTTTCTGTTCCTTTTGCCCCTGGTTTATCTTCCTCCATAAAAATTTGTCTGAGAAAAGTTATAGTGAGCTCCACAGTAAGAGTGCCAAAGCAGAAGGGTGAAAGAAAAAAACCGAAAGATCTGCAGATGCTGCAAATCAGGAACAAAAACAAAAGTTGCTGGAAAAGCTCAGCAGGTCTGGCAGCATCTGTGAAAAAAAATCTCAGTTAATGTTTCGGGTCCGGTGACCCTTCCTCAGAAGATAAAAAAGATTTCCTTGCAGTTTGCAGTATTCTTTCTTAGTTGAATAGTTGAGTAAAAAGCTTACATTACATGGAAAGTTTGTGGATAAATGAAGCTTGTGAATTTTCCATTAGACAATCATATTGGTAACTTACTTCACTTTCACACAAGCTTCAGTTTCGTTTTGAGCTTACTTATTGATGTTTCTTTGTTAGCAAATTTTCAGCTTATTTTGCTAATATTTTGCATGCATCACCACTTTTGGATTAGGTGCATCTTTGACCAGTATCCACTTCCATTGAAATTAGGAATGCACTTTAGAAAAAGTGTAATTCTGATTATTGGTCTAAAATGCTAAATTCCTTTTCAAGAAATAATCCACTTTAGACTCCAGAAAGTTTTGAGATTTTCATCCTGTTAAAACAGAAATTAAATGGTAAGTGGTAGTTGTGATATTAATGTTAACTTCACAATAAATAGTCAGCATTTCAGAAAAGTAATCTACACATTTATAGTTGTGATCCAAAGAATGAGAGGTGACCTTATGTAAACATATAAGATTTTTAGGGGACTTGACAGGGTAGATGCGGAGAGTGGGAGAGCCTAGGGCCAAAGGTTATAATCTCACATTAAGGGGTCACACATTTAACACAGAGATGGGGATGAACTTCTTCTCTCAGAGTAAAGTGTTTCTGTGGAATTCATTACCGCAGGGGCTGTTGAGGCTGAGTTATTGTCAAGAGCTAGAGGGAGAAGACAGAAAAGTGGAGTTGCAGATTATCAGATCATCCATGATCTCAGTGAAAGACAGAGCAGACTTGGCCTGAGTAGCCTACTTCTGCTTCTATGTCTTATCATGTTATGGCAATGTGACAAAAGTTGCTGCATATTTTCATAGAACACACCCCTAAAACTGGGCAGTCTCTTCACTGAGTCAGTGTAAACAAGCATTACATTAGCTGCACATTTCTACATCAGTAAACTAAGTACTTCAACTCCTACATAAATGTATGAGAGTGTCTCAAATTGTCTCAAAGGCTATTTATAATTTCTGCTGAATTATGAAATTCAGAAGCTGCAAAATAAAGATTTGGATACCTCATTCTATGTTGGACTAACATCAGAAATCAGTTTCCAGATTCTAGCAACATTCCTCAAAACTGAGATAACTCTATGGTAATAAAGAATTTGACGTTTAAAACTTGCAATACTTATTGCACATTGATTATAATTGAATTGGAATATGTGGAAATCATTTTAAGTCTTTCTAATGTTTGTCATTGAAACAGTACCATGCTTTACATGATTGTTTCATGAAAGAAATAATGATCAGTTCGTATTTTAAACTAAGGTGTAAAATAAATTAGATTATTCAGAAATTAAGTAATAAAATTAAATTTATTTAGAGCAATAAGTCCTCGGTGCTTGGACAGACTGAATATAGGACTAATAAATAGAGGGTAAATACATTACATATTGTTCTCCAAGTTAAAAATTGAAAATATTAAGATCTGTTTGTTCGCAGTATGCTGGAGTCAAAGCTCTTATAACGATATAAATAGTGAGTTCTCAATAGACTCGACATTAACATCTCTATGGAGTACTCTAAGTGCACACTTGTTTGTAAATCAAACTTTTGCCAGCTTTATTCAATGATAATCACAAAGCTATTGCCAAATGCCATTGAGACAATTTTCCTATTATGCTCATCAGATTGATACAATGATGTTATAGGACATTGAAACTTGATTTTCCATACCATCTGCAGTTTAAGAAGAACATTGCCTGTAAAATTATTTCCAGCAAATATTTTGTGAACTATCAATTTGTGTTTTTCAGTATGTTGTGAGAGGTGGAACAGGAAATGAACTCATCCTATTCAGTGATCATGGAACATCTAGAACTGTTTTTCAAATTTAGTAACACATCTTGCCCAAAAATGGGGAGGTCCACAATAAACCGAGCAATACTTTATAAAAACTGAAAGAATTGCGGATATTGTAAATCAGGAACAAAAACAGAAGTTGCTGGAAAAGCTCAGCAGGTCTAGTAGCATCTGTGAAGAAAAAATCAGAGTTAACGTTTCGGGTCTGGTGACCTTTCACCGGACCCGAAACGTTAACTCTAACTTTTTCTTCACAGATGCAGCCAGACCCGCTTAGCTTTTCCAGCAACTTCTGTGAGCAATACTTTATATTTGATCCTTGAGTTTAATTTTAGTCACTGTTCTTGGAAACTTATTGGTGATTATTTCAATCTCCCATTTCAAGCAACTCCATACTCCTACATATTATCTTGTTCTTTCTTTAGCTGTGGCTGACCTTCTACTGGGATTAGTTGTTTTACCAAACTGCATGGGATACTCTGTTGAAACATGCTGGTATGTTGGGAATATTCTCTGTGACGTTCATATAAGATTATCTGTGACACTGGCATTAGTGTCAATCAATCTTTTGGGCTTTATTGCAGTTAGTCATTACTATGCTGTGTGTGATCCCTTGCTCTACACTACAAAAATCACACTACCTGCGATCATCACAATTATTATATTTATTTGGGTGTTCTCTATTATTTATGGGTTTGGATTAGTTTGTTCAAAAATAATTAGGAAGGGAATAGAAGATTATATTAGGACAGTTTCATGTCATGGTAGCTGTATACTTGCATTTAATAAGCTGTGGGGACATTTGAACCCATTGATTGGATTTCTTGGCCCCAGTTTGACGATTTTTGATATTTACATTAGAATCTTTATTATAGCAAGAAGGCATGCTCGAGTCATTAGAAACATGACAAGGAAAGCCCAATCTGAAGAGGAATACAGTAATCTAGATTTTGCAGGCAAGGAACACAATGCTGCCATGAAACTGAGCATAGTAATAGTAGTCTATATAATCTGCTGGCTACCCTATTGCATGATCATTGTTGTTGATCCATATATTAATTACAGCACATCTAGAGTTTTATTCTCTGCTACTTTGTGGTTTGGTTTTATTAATTCTGCTTTTAACCCCATTCTTTATGCTTTCTTTTATCCCTGGTTTTGCAAAGCTGTAAAACGTATCCTTTCCTGCAAAATACTTAACCTTGACTCTTCGACAATAAACTTATTCCCAGACAATTAGAATGTAATATAGGCATAAGAACAATTCAGAACTTGAGCTCTCCTTTACTAAGTCAAGTAATCTGTCAGTTTTCTTCAAGACTTCATATGGCTTCTTCAAGGCTTCAGGGCTTTGCATGTTGTCCCTGTGTCTGTGTGGGTTTCCATTGGGTACTCCAATTTCATCCCACAGTCCAAAGGCATGCAGGTTTGGCCATGGTAAATTGCCCTGTAGTGTCCAGGGATGTGCAGGCTAGGTGGATTAGCCATGGTAAATGCTGGGTTATGGGGATAGAGTGGGTGCTCGGTCTGGATGGAATGCTCTTCAGAGGGTTCGTGCAGGCTCAGTGGGCCAAATAGTCTCTTTTTGCACTTGAGGATTCTATGATATATGATGTGTAGTTAGATAAATATAGTCAAATTTAATAGTTTATTCAAAGTATATTGGAAACTTATTATCTGAAACTAGAATAAAGTTTTATACCTTTAGGACATCCAGATGGAATACTTTTAATATAGTGACTGTTGTATTTTTATTCAACGTGTATTTCTCGGATACTGATTACTCATCAAGATAGTTGAAGGATAAAGCCTTCCGTGAAAACAGCATGTTTCCATGCATTGTTTTGTTCTTTACCTGGTGAATGAAGATACAGCATACCTCGTTGATCAAGTCAATATTTCCTATCCTCCGGGACAGGCTGAGGATCGGGCAATCTATCAGATAGTGAGGGAAAGCAAGGGCTAGAATGCCAATTGTCTCCTTACCACCAAAGCATTTCACAAGTAGTGGAAGAAATGGAGAATTGTCCTCTTTGCCAAGAGACTGCTAAATGATATTAATGGCCATTTCCCTCCAATCCAGGCGTTTAGTTCCAATGTGGAGTGATGGTCTGTAATACACTGAAGTGGCCTCTCCAGCTGACATCACTGGTGGGAATGATGATGTTATCCCACTGACCTACACCCCTCCCCCCAACCCCTCCACACAATGTCTCTATTCCCCTCTTTCTGGAGCCTGTCTGATTGGTACCAGCAGACCCAGATGCCACTCACTTCATTGTAAAGCTGGCACTTTTTTTCCATATCATCTTAAACTGGTTGCAGTCTCACTAATGGCCACTGTTTGTGGTGTTGCTGAAACTGAAAAGCTGGTGACCATCTAATTGGACAGCAGCTCTTGGAGATGTGCTCCTGTTCCTTGAAAGGGAAAAATGATTTGACGGTAACAAATTCAGTGAGATTAAAATGCAGCACAACAGATCTCTCGAAGGGCCAAGTTGGGATCACGCCCCAGCTTTCAGGCCTCTTTTCAGATACCCTGATACTCTTACTACATTCAGCCCTCTTTGGTGTTGCATTACATCAGCAAATTATTCTGTTCGCATACAAATCCATATGCACTATACATAATTTGAGAATGAGAGGAATTAATAAATCAGACAATGATTACAGCAATGAAGGAGACCAGTCTTCTGTATCAATGCCAACTTCCTGCAAGAACAGTGCTGCATGTACCACTCCCATGTTCCTTCTCCACAGCCCTGATTCTCTTTCTCTTCAGGGACATATTCAACCTTGTTTTTGAAAGTTACAATTTAACCTAGCTCCAGCATGATCTCAGATAGTGCAGTCCAGATTCTAAACATTCACTGTGTAATAAAGGATTTTCCTCATGTCATTATTGCTGTTTCTGACAAAACAATTGATTTGGTCTGGTTCTTATGCCTTCCACCAACAGGAACAATTTCTTCCTACCTGCTTGGTTTAGATTCCTCATGATAACAGCTCTATCAAATCACCTCACAGACTTCTTTAATAATAATAATTCTAGATTCTTCAATCCCTACAAATGTTATGATCCAGGAAACATTCCCATAAAATTTCTTTGCGCTTTTTCGAAAGTCTTCACATCCTTCTGCAAGTACAGTGTTAAGATTAGGGTACAGTATTGCACTCGAAGTAAAACCAGTGTTTTATAAGTATTCATCACAACTTTCCTGCTTTTTAACTCTTGAACTAACTCTTGGGAAATTGGCTAAGTGTCAGATTTCTTGGAGAAGTTCTCTCCACAAAGCTGAGTGAGATTTCTCGTGTGTTGTTCTAGACTCACCTCATAAATTCCACACCATGTTCTTTGGCATCCCACCCACCTGACACTAGGTTGATTCTCCCATTTGCTGTAGCCAGAAGTAATCGCCGCTGTTAGGATCTCTGTAGATTGCTAGTGCTGGCATCATCTTTGAGCACCAGGCATGCATTTGGTCAAGTTGAGGTTGGAGGCTGGGATTGCTTGGCACCATCAACGTAATGGGATAGCATTTACAAACCAATACTTCTTATGGTAATAGGTGGCATGGCTGACAGTTCCGTGCAACATTACCTCCAATTTCTCCAGCCGCTCTCCAATATCCTTGTGTGGCAGTATCTGGAGAAACTGGAGGTGAATGTGTTGGCACAGTGTTGGAATGCTGAGAGGCTTCACAGACCCACAAAATGACTGTGTGGCTTAGAGGAAACATTGCTTCCTTACATACACAGCTATACATTCCTATATCTGTTGATGCTTTAGCATCAGGCCACATAGTTTACTTGCCCTTAGCCACATCCTATAGTACAAACCTCTCTATGTCATTGCTAATCTTTTTCAAATGCCCAGTATAGGCTAGCATTCTATCATTTCTCAATGTGGGGCTCTCACATAAAGGAAAGCTGTCAAAACAGTCACTTCTATTGACCAACACCAAAAGTAAAAATAAATCAAACAAACTGAAGCTGCATTTGCCTCTCAGAATAGAAATGGATTGCTTGCCTTTCAAGCAACAACAATTTTACAGTCAATAAATAACAACTGCAGCCAGCTCTCATTTACTGGAGGAGGATGTCAATTAAGCCATGTCTGACATAAAATGCCCTGTGTTGTCTCTGCTGTGTTCTGTCATGCAGAAGGTGATTTTTATTCTGTTCAATGTTCTCATCTTTCTCTGAAAACTGCTCTCAGACTCCCAACTCATCAACTTCCATCACATCCCCTCTTTTCCAGCTCCAGTTGTGCAGAGCACAGCAAGATGGATTATGCAGTACAATCTGTCCAGACTGCACTTTAAGGCTACCCCCATGTCTTATTCAAACAATGGAACTGCAACTTCCATGAGTCTTATTGTCTGCTGCACAATATTCCTGGTTCGAGAATGGGCTGTATTTTATCTTTACTCCTCTTCAGTTGGTCCGTTGCAACAGCCATGGCCACAGGGGCTAGCTCTTGTACCCCAGTAACTATTCTTGCAAGTCATCTGGACCCACACGCACAGCAGAAACTTAAGAGTTACCTGGGTACAGGGCGCCAGCGTTAACGATGTGGTGTCATTATGGTGGTGATTGTCAATAAAATCTGCTGCATTCTGTATATACTGTATGCCCCCATGTGTCAAACTCCACCCCCCTTCACTAACCACTTCCCCTCTGCACCTTAAGTTACATTACATAAGCCACATTACATCATAATTCTAAAAGGGCAATAAATGTCAAAAAAACAAGCCTGAAGGCTCTTGTTTCCATTCGAGGAGCATATGTAATAAAGTGGATGAATTAAGTGCACAGACAGTTATTAATAGATGTGATATTATTGCAATCACAGAGTCCTGGCTCCAGGGTGACCAAGATAAGGAATTCAACATCCAGGGGTTTTCAATTTTCAGTAAAGGTAGACGGATAGAAAAGGGAGGTGGGATATTGTTGCTGGTTAAGGAAGTGATTAACACAATGGAAGGAAGAACATTGGCCTGGACAATGTGGAATCTGTATGTATGGAGCACCAAACGGAAAAAAAGTTAGTGGGAGTTATGTACAGACCACTAAACAGTAATTGTGAGGTTGAGGATGGCATCAAACAGGAAATTAGGGATGCGTGCAGTAAGGTTATGGGTGACTTCAATCTACATATTGATTGGACTAACTAAACTGGTAGAAATGCAATAGGGGAGGTTTCTTGGAATATATGAAAGATGATTTCATTGACTAACATGCTGAGGAACCAACTAGAGAGCAGGCCATCTTAGACTCTGTATTGTGCAATGAGAGAGGATTAATTAGCAACCATGTGGTTGAGATCCTTTGGGGAAGAGTTACCATAATATGATAGAATTCCTCATTAAGATGGAGAGTGACACCATTAAATCTGAGATTAGTGTCCTGAACTTAAAACTAACTTTGATAGTATGAGGCATGCATTGGCTAGGATAAGTTGGCCAATGATACTCAAGGGGTTGACAGTGGATAGCAATGGCGGACATTTAAATATTTAAAGAACACATGGATGAACTTAAACAATTGTACATCCCTGTCTGGTGTAAGAGAAAAACAGGAACAGCGGCTCAACCATGGCTAACAAGGGAAATCAGGGATAGTGTTAAAGACAAAGAGAAGGCATATAAATTGGCCAGAAAAAGCAACAAACCTGAGGACTGGGAGAAATTTAAAATTCAGTAGATGAGGTCAAAGGGTTTAATTCAGAAGGAGAAAATAGAATATGAGAGTAAGCTTAAGGAATACATATAAACTGACTCAGAAAGCTTCTACAGTTATGTGAAGAGAAGAAGACTGGTGAAGACAAATGTGGGTCATTTACAGTTAGAATCAGACGAATTCATAAAGGACAAGAAAGAGATGGCGGGCCAATAGGACAAATTCTTTGGATCAGTCTTCACTAAGGAGGACACAAATAATCTTCTGGAAATGCTGGGAGACAGAGGGTCAAGCATGAAGGAGGATCTGAAGAAAATCCTTATTAGTCAGGAAATGGTATTGGGGAAATTGATAGGATTAAAACCCAATAAGTCCCCAGGGCCTGATGCTCTGCATCCCAGAGTACTTAAGGAAGTGGCCCCAAAAAAAGTGAACGCATTGGTGATCATTTTCCAGCATTCGGTTGACTATGGAATAGTTCCAATGGACTGGAGGATAGCTAACGCAACCCACTTTTTAAAAAGGGAGAGAGAGAGAAAATGGGGAATTATAGGCCGG